CAGAGATCCACCTGCCTCTGCCTCCCGAGTGCTGGGACTAAAGGCGTGCACCACCAACACCTGACCAAGGATGATCTTTTCAACAAACAGCATGGCAACAGTTAGATATCTATATGCAAAATAAAAAGTGAGAACTGCCCATTCGCATGTAAAAGTGAACTCAAGATGAGTCATTAAACCTGAATATTTAGCTGAAAAATCTCAAACTGCTAGAAGGAAACCTTGGAGTCTGTAACGATCTCTCAAGCCACCAAAGGCATGATCAAAACATTCAAGTATTAAAGAAGTGTGCTTTTGGGGGTGGCAAGATGGCTCCGTGTCCAAGTTAGTGCCGTACATACTAAGGGGTGGTGCCGTTGTCAATCAGCCCAAGTTTATCAGCACAGACTCTGCTCCAGCGTAACAAATAAACCCAGAACTCCTGATGGCTTAATATGATAAAGGAGAATTTCCCGGTTGTGAAAATCTGATATGGTTGAGAAACGTTTCTCTGTTTATAAATGCTGGCATCTTGAACACACAAGTTAAAGTTGGGGGATTTCATGGGGTCAGGTCAGACCTGGGGGGAGGGTTCTGTCTCTTCTACCTACATATGACTAGAATTCTGTCACAAGGCTCCAGTGTACCTTGGGCCAGCAAGCATGGACACAGGAATGTGGACAAGAGAGTCAGCTGTTTCACTCTGTCTCATTACACCATTTGTGGGGATGGAACCATTCCCCTGTGTCCCCTTTTAGAGGTGATGGGTCTTTCTGGGGTTTGCTTCTTCCTGGTGCTGGACTAAGATGGACAAAGACAAGAGTAAAACACAGTCAAGAGATGGTTATGTGGTCTCCTTGTTGACACAATATTGAGAGGAATATACACAAGGCTACCTTGCCTTTTAAATAGGAGGCTCTTCTTTTTATAACAAAAACTTTGATTTGTTCTCATTTTTCTAAGTTTCAGACTTTTGGGACCAATGTAATTGTTGAGCAGAATTAATTGTCTGTGAATCCATGCTAGTTGCTTATTTATGCAGCGGGGTGTGTGAATAGGACCTCTTGATGAATGTCAAACACTGACTGTCAGGGGTCACATTGCAGCAAAACCCACAGCATTGTAATTGTAGGTAATTCTGTGGTGATTCAGGTCATCCCAGCATTCAAAGAAATTCAGCGTTATTTACATTGCCCAAGCTGCATCTTACAGCTCACACAGTGGTTATGTATGTGTGTGTTTATAATCCCATGTATGGGTTGAGTGAGGAAGTGATCAAAATG